ACTGACTAATTATGAAAAATATTAGAAATATAGCTGGCCTGTGGCTGGCATAAGGACAGTGAGTTCATGGAAGCTGAATTCCATTAAAAGCTTATGCAGGTTATTATCATAGTATCCTATATTGGCCAGGAATGAAGGAATGCAAAAGTCTCAAAGCTGCAAATGACATGGCTACCGCCATCACAAGACATCTATCTGACATACTCACTTGGCAGCCTGGGAAATGGATCCAATGGCAAAGACAACAAGGGAAATTCGTCAAGGCCTACTCATGAGATCACTAATGACACTGCTATGTCAGACTGCCAGGTCTGGCCATAGATGTGTAAGGATTAACTGTGGGTGCAAGGGGAAAGGATTCAAGGCTTTGGGTCACAAATACGCTTAACAGAATTTTCTGACTAGGCGGAGAAGATAAATCCTGGAGACAAACACAGGGGACAGCATTCCATGAAAAGCTAATTGCAGGATGAGATAGATTTCATGCAATAATAGAAGGGAAGAGAGTTTTAGGACTCAAATTCAACACAGTAAGGGAGGCTTTGAAGAAGAACAGAGGCTAAGGCTCACAGAAAATTCAAAGAAATACTGCTATAGCTTTGGAGAGAAGAGGGCACAGAACTGCACTAAAGCTGTAACAATGACAAAAAGACATAAAAAGCCAAGAAAACAACCCCCAGGCGGGAAGTCTTCACATGAAACCACAGTTCTGACATGTAGTTCTGCATTGTAGAACAGGAATGAGTTCTGAAAATGAAGGAAGCAATGAGGAAAGGTTTCCTAAGAAGAAGCAAAGAGAAACCATGAGGTTGCTGTCTTGGGAACAATCAACAACAGACCACGTAGAAGGGAGGAGCTGAATGAACCTCTTCCTGAGCCACCATCCAAGATCTGATATGATGGTAACTAATCATCAGTGGGGGACTTTACCCAGCCATCAGCTAGGAATACAGTATGTGTGGTGAACAGCCTCCCACAATTAAAAGTAGCTTCGTGTTTCAGAAATTGGAGAAAGCTACTAGAAGAACGGGCACTTTTCGTTTCAGCTTTGGCTAGAAGGGAAGAACTTACTGAAGCTGGACTGAGACTAAAGATGGTAAGCAGTATGTGAAAGTGACTACAAAATCAGTATTCTAAGAAAAGATTCTAACAGTGAATCTTTCAGGCAGAGGCAGACCACACAGATTTTTATGCATGCACTGAAAAAACACTGACTTCTTACCACATGACCTGAAATGTATCTAACACGTGACCAACATACCAGTATTTCCTGTACCATGATGGGTTCACATCCAGGAACATAATGAGAATAGCTGTGTTTGGATCAGATAAGAGATATACATCAAGTGGATATGACAGAACACGTATGCTTTCACTATGTGATTACAGGGGCCCTTTTCAGTTCATGCCATGTGACGTGAAGGTGCTGCAAAACTTTGGGATAGAAAGGGAACCGCCATGAGGAAATGCGCTACCAGTACGATTTAACCATACTGCAGCCTACTTTCAGTTTTTGTCCAAAGGGTCCTTATGAGAGTGGGCATCAAGGATTTAGACACTGCTGTGGTGAGCTGAATTTGTCCCACTGGCCAAAGTTTCTCACTCCCTGTTCTAAGGAAAGCAGAGTAAGAGGAATGGAATAAAGCTAACCAACTTCATAAAAAACCCTCAGGGAATAGGCAGACATGACTCTTGGGCAAATAATCTAAGAGACGGAAGAGATCAGAGAGCTGGCAGTTACTGAAAGGGACTATATTAAATGCACAATAGCAATTCAGAGGAAAGAGAGTGTATAAGGCTGTTTAAACTGCACCAGGAGAGCTGTAATGACCTGAAAAATCACAAAAAAAGTAAAAAAAACAAAACAGGTGTGTGTGCATGGCTAAGGAACAGTATAAAGAGACACTGCTACCATGCAGGGATAAAATCAGAACAGCAATGGTGCAGAAATGAGTTATAACTAGTGAAGGACATAAAGGGTAGCAAGTAAAGGTTCCATAAATACAGTAATAGACAGAATACAAGGTTTATAACTTAAAAGGAACAAATTATAGGTGACACAAAGTAGGACAAAGTGTTAAATGTCTTATTTCAGCCCTCAGTAGAAAGTTAATTGTGAACAGAAATTTAATGGAATTCCTTTTGCAGGGAGACAGAAGATGAGGTCAAAGTGGAAAAAAGTAAGTTAAGAGTAAAGGATAAACTTAAAGGTAAGATAAAGATTTTTCAAGTCAGCAGACGTTTATGAAACCCTTGATGCTTAAAATGCTGATCAAAGTGACATCTTGAGAACTCAGAGAGGTCAAGAGAGGCAGACTAGCACATACCTCTAAAAGAGGGGAGGAGGAGGGCTGAGGAAAGCAAAGACTTGTTAGCCTACCTTCAGCCTCTGGACAGATTATACATCAAGTTATTGAGCAATGAATTTGTAAATAGTTAGATGGGAAGCAGATGGTAAGAAGTAGCTAAAGTGGGTTGTTCAGGAACAGAATGCAACAAAACTAGCCTTCTTTTACAAAATATCTGGCTTCACAGATATAAAAAATAGTAGAAGTGGGATAAATTTGACATTTGCCCTTAGATAAGCTAAGAAAACACTATAGAGCTATGTCAGCCAGAAGGTGACACAGACGTGAAAAACTGGTCTTGAAAAAATAACTACTGGAGGAGAAAAACGACCAAACAGAAAGCCGGGCTGTCACTGAATTTGTGACCACCCGCTCGGGCGCGAACTTACGGGCTGAGGGCCGAGGCGAGGGGCTG